TCTCAACAACTGTGTTCGTCTCCTCGAGAGAGACACTTCTTTTTCTCTCTCGACGACGAGCATTCCGAATTTCGTACATTCTCCGTAAGATTCTCGAGTCCTTGTGTCTGCTTTCTTGTTTGTGGCGGGAATATCGATCCTCTTTTACGCTTTCGTGTGCGATTTTGCTTTCTTCCATTGTCGATTCTGTATCGGCTTCGATTTTTTGGTACGTTTTTGTGATTGTTGCGTTTGTTTCTTCTTCGATTGATTTGGTATGGTGTTAGTCTGGCTTTTGTGTGTGATTCCTGTCGGTTTCGCGTTCTGGGTGGGTTTTGGGATTCTCCGAAACTGACGCATGATAGTGATTTCTTTGCTTGATCTTGGGTTAATGGTTTCGATTCATCGGTTTCGTTTTTTGTTGATTGGGTTGGTCGATTATTGCTCTGAAGTGGTAATTAATCGGTGAAATTTCGCCGATTGTTTCAGATCTTTTCTAAATTCGATTGGGACGCGATAGTTCTAGGGTTTAGGTGCTGTATCGATTTCTGCATTGGTTTTTCTTTATTACATTGTTCATTGGGTGGTTATTTTTTTCCACATGATCTCACAATTCCCACTTGCTTATCGATGGTCTCTGTTGAATCAGATTGAAATTAGAATCAGGTCTAGGGTTAGTTGCTATCATTTTTCATTTTATGCCACTTTTGTGTATGTGATTAATTCTTTGCAAAGTGTGCTTGACATTAGTGTATCCGTAAACGCATATGGGTTTGAGATTAGTAGGTTAATTCTCTGTTGTTTACAGTTTCCAATTTGTAAAGAAATGTGTGTGGTATGTAACAGAAAGTCTCTAAAGATTAGCTTATGTGACGTCTTGCTTTTATATGATATTTCTTTTCCCTTTCTTGCTTGGACGATCTGTTGTGTCGATTTGTTGCTACATTTCCTTGATGTGTCTTCTATGTTTGCAAAGAAAGTGAAATTGTGCTAACCTCATATAAACATCCAGGTTTATGGAATTCGTGTTACATTGTAGGTCTTTCTAGCGAACCTGAAGGATGCCTCTACTAAAAAAGAAGCCACATAAACTACTTGAGCCCCCAAACGACTTGGAGCCATATGAACTTGTTTATCAAGTCCGTCTCACAAAGGAGATTTTTCGAGACTATCAGTATCCTTCTTCTACTTTTTTTTTTTTAACTATGTTTCAAATATTTGCCTTCTCCTAGTGTGCGCAGTCTGCGGGAAAATAAATGAACTTGAAACTTGCAATGCTGTTTCATTCTGGAACAACCTTTATTCATATAATTTCAAAGGCCTGGTTATTCATGTTTACCAATGGACATGCTGTGTGAGAACTATTTGTCTGCTTAACATAAAATAGACTGTACTTGAAGAGGATAAATCTGTATCTGAAGCGAGTTTGGACATGTAAATCTACTGGAAAAACTAGCTTGACCTACGAGGAGGCCTTAGAGTCAGAAAAACTGGCAAGCAAGAAGGTTCAAACACTGCCCAGAGAGCTAGTAGCACCTGCTTTACGTATCATCCAATTCAGTAAGTTTGTTAACTCCCTTATTAGATTGTGGTTCATTCTTCTGATATAACTGTTTCCAAGTCTTGATTTCTTTAGTTATGTAAGAATTACTATGTGTATTTTGAGGTCTGTATCTTCTTAAAATCCCGGAAACTTAGGCAGCTGTCAGGAACTCGAATGTTCCAGACTTTTTAATATTAAATGTGCCTCTATAATTTCATAGGATGTTTTTTTAGATGCCGCCATTCGTAATGGTACCAATTGGTTGCATTTACGATTATCAAAATTCCTGTTCTGACAAAGACTACAATTTTCAGTGGAAGGGAACTAAGAATGCACTCGTTGGGTACAGATCAATTAAATCATCAAAAACAGAATTTGTGGCAAACTTTGTCATAATTTGATTCTTGAAGTAGATCAATCAGCTCAATGAAAACGTACCTGCACTCACAATAGTTGAAAGGGATCCTCTCTAGTTATGCAAACACAAGATGGTTATTTTTATGGTTCTTACCATCTTCACTAAATTTGACCATATATTTTTGATAAGTTACCAACTGTAGTTAGATAAACCTTTGCTTTTTCTCTGTCAGTTCTGTGAATCAGGACAAGCTTTTTGATCTTGTTTGTATAGCTTTCTTAATACTAGAAGTCTCTCGTGTATGATCACTATTTCTGACTCTTTCTCCTTCATTTTGAACAGGTATGCTTTCGTTGAAAGATCTTGCCGATAAAATAGCAGCAGAGTTGCAAAATTGCTATTTCGCTGGTGCAGAGTTGTATGGAAAAAGGGATGGCGAGTTGCAGCCGTGCAAAATCTTGAAGGTAGTGACAGATGGGGATAGTAAACCTCACTATGAGGTAGGCTTCCTTGACAAAGATAAGGAAATAAATGAAAACACAGTGCTGTTTGGGGAGGAGCTGTCATGGAAGAAGTTTCCATTTAGTAGAAATTTTCTGAAGTCTTTCATCCGGGAGTCCACTTGCCATAGTATACCTTGGGTAGTTAAAGAGTATCTGGTTAAAGCACATGGGATCACGAGTAAGATTCCCAAGGAACTACAGAACAAATATGTCTATCAGAATGGAGAACTGGTTCAGCAAAGGAAACAGGTAGATGTAAAGTACATCACCATACAATAATTTGTTGCGTTGCCAAATAAAATTGGTCTATGTACTAATCGGTTTCATCTCATCACTAAACTATAGGAAGATAAAACCGGAAAGGAAAAAGGAAAAAGAAAGAGAGCCGAAAATGACAGACATGAGGAGACAGATAGAGGTAGATGTGTGCTCTGCAATTCATTTTTATTCCAATGTTTCTTAACGTGTGCAAAAGATCCTTCGCAATGTCAGTTACATTTCAGGTTTATAGCTGAAATCATTAATCGTATGTGTTCTCTTGATCTTATGGAGAATATTTTTGACTTGGGGATATGCATTCCAACTGACGATTGTTCGTGAATAAATGAATTTCTGTCTCTCTATATTGTCTACTGATTTGTCGTTGTTGGCGATTGTTTTTCCAGAGGTTAATGAGACTGAGGAAGAGCCTATCAATTATCCAATTGAAGATTTACTGTTGCCACTTGATCCCAATGATGCTGATATCACTCCGCGTCCTTCTCCTTCACGGGACTTTAGTGTTCCAATGGATTGTATTGGGGATCTTCTTATGGTCTGGGACTTTTGTTCCTCATATGGTAGGCAGCTGCATCTATGGCGATTTTCTCTTGAGGACTTTGAAAATGCTGTCTGTCATAAGGAGAGTAATTTGGTTCTTATCATGGAAGTGCATGCCTGTCTTTTCCGGTTCCTTATCAATGAAGGCAGTGGTCGTTTCAAAGCTTTACAGCGAAGGAGTCGCAAGTCAAAGGTCAGATCGTTGTCTCATGGAAATGATCCTTAATAGGCCGCTCAGTAATATGATATTCTCATTCAGCATTAAGTCGCCTGCCTTCTGATTTTTTTCAGTGTTGTTTTGTGATTGATGGCCTGCTTGTTGGTTGTTTCATCTTATTTCAGATAACATTGATCACATGGACAGAGTTTTTATGTGATTTCCTGGAATCAGTCGAGACTCCTGATTTGTGCTCTGACATTGGAACAATCAAACGAGGACATTATGGTCTACTCGACCCCAATTTAAAGTTGAAAATCTTAAGGGAATTAGTGAATCGTATAACTGAAACAAGTGTGTTCAAGGGGGAAGTAGATGAACTTGTTGAACAACGACATGCCCTTGGAGCTGCTAGAAGAGAAGAAGCATTGGCGGAGGCCCGACAGAAAAGAGAGGAGAAAGAACGGTCCAAAACTGGTGATGAAGCTGATGGAGTTTCGGACAATAACAGAATGGAGAAAAAGAAAAATAGCCCACAAGTAGTAGAAAACAGCAAAGACAGCAAAATGAAAGAGAACACTGCGGGGGAAATCAAGATGGAGAATGGGTTTGTTTCTTCAGAAAAAAATGAAAAAACAGAGAAAAGGTTTGGCTTAACTATATACGCATAAGCAGAATATCTGGTTTTCATATCACTTGGGAGCTCATCATTTTTCTTATTGTAGTGATAGGCTTATCGGGAATGTCTATCTGAGAAAGCACAAAAGGCAGATGATGGATACAAAAGTCGAACCAA